TCTCTAGGCCCGAAACGTCAGCCTTCCTGCTCCTATGATGCTGCTTGGTCTGCTGTGTTCATCCAGCTCTACGCCTTGTTGTCTCAGATTCTCCAGCATCTGCAGTTCCTACTATCTCTGTACTTACCTCTACTTTAGAATCTAAGTCACCAAAATACCCATAACATATTGCAAACTTTCAAACTACATTTTTAGCACTGTAGTAATTTTAATGAAATTTGGCATTCAATACATGTGATACAGGAATCAGGAACAGAAATTTCACAGACAATATCGGGACAGAATGCAAATAGGAGATTGTTTTTATAAGACAATGGTTCTGAAGGGTGAATGTTGGACACTGTTGGGGCGGCATGGTGGCACAGTGGTTAGCACTGCTGCCTCACAGCGCCAGGGACCCAGGTTCAATTCCAGCATTGGGTGACTGTCTGTGTGGAGTTTGCACATTCTCCCCACGTCTGCGTGGGTTTCCTCTGGGTGCTCCAGTTTCCTCCCACAATCCAAAGATGTGCAGGTTAGGTGGATTGGCTATGCCGAACTGCCCGTAGTGTTTCAGGGATGTATAGATTAGGTGTGTTATAGGGGGATGGATCTGGGTGGGATGCTCTGAGGTTCAGTGTGGACTTGTTGGGCTGAAGGGCCTGTTTCCACACTGTACAGAATCTATGATTCAAACTATATTAAACCCCACTCAATCTGACGGTGTCAAAAGCATTTTGGTGGGAAAAGGCTTGGAATCTTGCAGAATGAGGACCTATAATCCAGATCCCCTCATAGTTTTAGTAATAATGTCTAATTTACCAATTCAACTTGCTCCTGATTGCTACCACACAATAAACTGCTTTTTGTTTCTGATGAGAGCCTCCTCTCATAAAGATTCACTTGTGATGAGGTCTACCATAATAAATCAAACAGGTCCTTAGATCCTGTCATGGAAAGAGGCCGGTGGCAGCGAGTTGCACCAATCAGAAGCTGATAGTGGTAGATTTGCAGCACATACAACAGCAATGAAATAAAATGGTAATAAAGACCTGTTTGCCAGTATGTTGTCTCTGTTCCTGTACTGAATGGAACAAAGTCAGCTGGGTGAACCTCATACAATAGAAATTCCTTGATTGGGGCTGTTAATCTGGTCCAATCAGGGAGCCCTGTCTGACAGATATAAATGGGAGTGTCAGCGGTTCTGTTTCACTCTGAAAGCTAGCTCTGAGGGAGTTGGATTGATGTCATGGGCTCGTCTCGTGTGAATAAAGGGTGACTTGGTGACAGTATACTGGCCTCAGTGCAGTTATTTCAGTTCCCAGCCAAGCTACCTCCAATGACGGCAGGAGTAGAGCAGAGGGTGGGAAAGCTAGTGAGTTTAGCAAAGTTCAGGCCAATTAAGACAATTTAGGAGCTCATTCTGAGTTTGACTTTGATCTTTACAAATTTTCAAGGAGACATGTAGCCTTCAGGAACTGTCTAATGCATACCAACACAAGGTTGGTGAGAATTGGTTGGCTGAGTGCAGAACATAAATATATAAGCAACAAAGAGGCTAAGTGAAGCAGAAAGAGTTGAACTCATAATTGATAAGTCTATGAAATCCTTACAAATTCTTGAAACACTACCTGCCCAGGGTTCCAGGTTTTAATCTTCCCCCTGAAATGTGAAATGTTTGCACCTTCTCCTTTGCCTGCTTCAATCATTACTGTCCAAATGATGGCCACAGTAATGACTGCTGAAGCAAGTCAACATGTGGTCCACATTTCTATGTGGTGACCTACCTCTGTTCCTGGCCTTTCCCAACCTTGCCATTAATTGGTTGACAGGCCCATATCTCACCCAACTGAGGCTTTATTGCTACCAAAGTACCAAGAAATTTCTACTTCCAGGTCAGAGCAGGATTGCAACCTGAAAACAAACCCATCTTCCAATTTGCTTCTTGACCACAGAACTCCAGTCTCTTGTAGCACAACATTAAGACTGTAATAATGTTTATAATTGTATTAAATATCCACAGCTGATCTTTTTATGGTACGACATTAGGCTCTCACTATGGCTGGTAGTACAACTGAATACCATACCCCAGGCAGAAAAGAAAGCAAAGATGCTGCATTTCATCAATGGCTGGCATATTCCTGAAGGATGTTGGCCAAATACAGGCACTCACTTTGTTAATAATACAAGATTAAAGAAATAAGACCAAATCAATTTGCAATGCATTGCCATGATAATCACAAACTCCAAGCACTTGAGGTAAATGGGTAAATTATGCACTTAATCTCGTCAAAAGACAAATTTCCTGGTAAGATTGTTCCACACGCTTTGGATAGTTATTCCCCTCCCCCTTCCAACAGTTCCATTTAATAGGTCTTGAAAAACACCGGCAAGCCCCCTTAGGGTATTGTAGAAACTACTGACTGAAGAAGTGATAAAGTCATCATGCATATGAAATTCAGGTTGGAAAGTTAATTTGTGCCGTAGTTTGAACATTCAGCCACAGAAGTATGATGAGGGTGCCCTGAAAACTGAGCCTTCGGGCCATAATTCTAGTCTTATTTGAACATGATTAATAGTCCCTTCCAAAATGCGAATATGATGTACTCACCCTGACATGGAATATTGATCTATGCTTGACTAAGGTCAAGCACTAAATACTCAGAGGTATTTACTCAGTGCTTTGAACCAAATCCCATCCTAAATTACTAACCGTAAACTTTTTTAAGTTCCGACAAGTGACTTGAACATTATTTTTGCATGTTTCAACATTTATTATACTTGCAATTTATTTGTTAAACTGACTCTTCTCTTGATGGCACTAGTTTAATAACGATCTTGTTCCTTCTTGTTCAATATCTAACATAACTAAAAGAACAATTCGTGAAAACAGATGGAAAGCAATTTTGACAATATGTATGTAACATGATCACAGATCTGGACCTTAGAAAATTTAAATACAGATTTAGATTTCAATCAAGGTGCTAAGTAACAGACAACATTCTAAATCTGCTAAATTGCTTTTAAAAATTATGTTCATACCTTGAGATGAGTTACATTTACAAAGAAACAGGTAAGAAAATAAATTGCAAAATGTATGTCCCCAGGATCTAATAGGCGCATGTTTCCAAAATAGTGACAAATTCCACGCAGGACTTAATAGATTGAGACTCATTAAATATAACTGTTTATTCAATTGCATTTCATCTTTCTTTTAGGGTTAGAGCCTCTTTCAAATGTTTTTCTCACATTTGATTTCCCTGAATGTAATATATTTACACAATATGAATACACTCTGTTTCTTTATAACCACTATTTCAGACATCATTCTTGACAATCAATAACAACAATGTATCCAAACTCCCACCCTTGTAATGTTTTGAAAATAACCATTCAGCACTGGGCTATTTCCACGTTAAAAAAAATTGAAGTGCTGAATTTACATTTCTTTAGTTTTGTCTGCTTCATGATTTCATTCTTTGTAAATTGTAATTGGAGGTTAATAACTCAGAAATCGACATGGGACCAAGGACAGATTGTACGTTGAAAGAGAGTGGAGAGGGAGGTTCTATCATTTATCCAAGGTATTAAGCCACATTATGGTCAGTAATGTTTTAGTACATTTCAAGTAATTTTTTTTCTGGGGCAGTTGTAACCTTTTTTTTATTTCTGGCCCACAAAGTCACTAATTTAGTGGGTCATAAATCTGGGACATCAGTATTTTTTCCTTCCTTTGAAAGCACCGGGACTGTAAGTGTACATGAGAATCTTATCCTACCTGCATGAAGTAAGATGCATAGTTCCTGCCTCTTCATGTTGGTTGATGGGAATGTATAATGTTGTGTTATTGTCAGAGAGCAACGGGCTTGTATATTGGAGGGTGTAACAGTCCTGTGGGATGTATAGAAATACTCAACAAGAATTTGCAGAATATGTTACTCACAATGGGAGAATGAAAATGGTTAAGTTATAGCCGGAATATAATGCAATATATCATGATAATTTCAGGCTCGTATGACAATTTGTTACAGTTAATGTATGTGGATACATTCAGCAAACATTTACCATATTCCAGTATTGACCACTTTGCGTCAATAAGCATAAAAAGCAATAAGCATAAGCATTCTTTGTCCTGTAGCATTATGTCTGTAAAATTACACCGTCCCTGCAATTTTGAACCCTACGTTTTCCCTAAAACCCTATATTTGAGGATGTTCCCAGTGTGTGAATAGACAGTAGCTCTCTGAAAATTAGGGGTGCAGTATTTATTACTGTCTTCCCACTCTTCATCTGGGGAACATTCACTAAGCTAGACCAAATGTCTCTTCTTTTTAAGGTGGGAGGTAGTGTGCAGACCAGGATGCACTTTTGTGTGAAATACCACACTGTGTGCTGGCTGTGAAGATGTCTGAACAGATACCACCAAATCTCCCCTCAGAACTCTAAGATTTAACACCCTTCAGCCCATCTTCTCTCCTATCAGTGAACTTTCTGTGATCACTGATTCCGCATTGGCCAAATACTATTTTGAATTTCTGTGACATTGAACAGCATGAAAAATCCTTTGGAAAGTTATGAAATTCTAAAGATACTCAAGGAGAGTGGTATTCATTGTTTCTCTCTTTCCCGGGCCAAATGACAGATCATCTTCTTTAATACAAGATTCTACAAGTGTATGAATATTCCTGTGAATTTATCCCAAAGTAATCTCAATTTTAATCACTATTTGTTGTTGCACATTTTGCTATATTGCAGTAGTTTTGTCTATAGAAATACATATGATAAAATAAGCTGCAATAAGGATAAACCAATTATCATTAGAGATAAGGTATGGCCTAACTTCGTGAAATAATTTAAGTAATTCTATTCTCAGCACATCTTTAAATGATCTTCCATTAAAATACTTCAAATGATCTCAGGCTACACTGAAATAATCTGCGGAGAAATTAAATGCAATTAAAGACCTCTTGAAGCGATTTTAGATTCTGTTATTTAATATTAAAAAAATAGTCTTTTCCTGTCAGTTTTTTTTTGTAGTTTGCAAATCAGTTCAAGACTGTCTTCAGAATTTTCCATTGAGATCAGAATTACATTCATTCAAAACTATCCCCCCAAAAATGGGTGTGGGCTGAATTTGAAGGAAAGAGTTTGTGCCATCTCGAACAGCCAAAAGGCATAATCGGAAATGTGATCTTCATTTTCCAAATAAAAACAACAGTGTGGCCGGCATTTGAATTCTCAAACTAAATTACATTAATTTAAAGAACTTTCCATTTATTTTTAATTTAATAAGGAAAGGTCTACATATTCAGATTGAAATTCTGCACCACCACTCCCCCCCTCTGCCATTTGGCCAAAAATAACAGCTAATCCACAGCATCTTTCATTGCTGCCTTTCTCAAACTTTCTTCTTATTTGTTTGTTTATCTGTCAATTTTTTTTTTAAAATGCCAAGGTCAAGAATAAAATTATCAGATTAACATGTCAGTAGATGGAGAGAAAAAAAAATGTTATTTCGGACATGGGAACAATTAAGTAAGGACCAGCTCGAGGCACTTGTTAATTTGAGGCAAAAATAGCTCAAGTGCCAGCATTTAGTGCACATTTCAGCACAGAATAATGCTGACCATGCAGCGTGCCAAACACTCAGAGTCAATCAGGAATTCAATTCAGAGCATTAGAAGCTCTAACTACTTCCTTCATTTTTTTTAAAACGGCCTGAATGTGTGTATGAGGAAACTTGATCTCAACAAATTCATAAAATCAAAGATCCACTATCGATTCTCGACTTTTAAGCGAGTTTCAGAAGCACAGTGGCTGCCGAATCCCTTCCTCGATAAAAGACACCAATTTAATTTTCAAAGTGAACTCCTCCTGGTCAATTTTCAAACCGAGTGAAGGCTCCAGTCTCTCACTATTAAAGTAAAGCCAAAGAGATAAGCACAGTCGTATTGTGCGTCTACCTAGATTTCACTCACCAAGAAAACCCAAGCTTTAGTAAAAGCTGATTTGCCCTGACAGGCAGAAAACAATATGATGGAAGGTAGTTACAAGCTGAAAAAGACAAAAATCCACAGACATGCCTTCAGTAGATGATGATTATTCACTGATAATTCTGCTCAATTAAAAATACTAATTGAAAAGAAAATCTTTGGGTGGCTGTATAATGAGGCAAAGTAGAAATATTCGTTGACTGGAAGTTTGAACATATGTTTGATGTTTCTCCCATGTGTAGAATCCAAGCGGGAATGAGATCTTGCCTGTGGGATTCATGGACTGTTTGGAGTAATTTCTAGCCAATGTTTTCGTGCTTACCATTTCTTTCCCTGGAGTTTAATAACTTGAATTTTTGAAACTGGGAATTAAAATTCAGAAATAAGTTGAGAAAGTAGAATAATTTAGGAGTGGCTGCATGGAATAAACCACAGAGGACTGAGGATATGGTTCCAGGGGTGCAGAATATGGCAGGAATTCAGCAAATCTAGAGGGAGGATACATACACGATTGCAAATATCTGATGGCTCACTGAAAGTGAATGACCTTTGTGGCAGGGTCCCTGATGGCTGTGTAGATTGGGACATTGTCAGCTCAGTGAGGTGGAATTCAATGTAACTAGACCCAACCGTTCTCCAAGAATCCATAAAAACCGAAAGAACTGCGGATGCTGTAAATCAGGAACAAAAAAATAGATGCTGGGAAAGCTCAGCAGGTCTGGCAGCATCTGTGAAGGAAAAAACAGAGTTAACATTTCGGGTCCGGTGACCCTTCCTCAGAATCCATGTTGGAATGTCCCCATATCATAATGCTCAATGGCTGTAGTGATGTAGAATGGGCACTAGGTTGCACTGTGAACAGATTTGGTCCCCTTTCCGAGGTAAGATTTGAAGCAATCCAGAGAAGGTTCACTGGGCTGACCCCAAATGTGGAGAGAATTTCTTTAAGAGGAGAGGTCGAGTAGGTTGGGCCTGTACTTGTTGGAGTTTAGAAGAATGCGAGGAGACCTGACTGAAACATGAGATTCTTAGGGGGCTTGACAGAGTAAAAGTGGAAAGGATATTTCTCCTTGTGGGTGAGTTTAGGACCAGAAGGCATAATCTCAGAGTAAGGTACCACCCATTTAAAAACAGACCTAAGGAGGAATTTGAGATAACAAGATGTAGAGCTGGATGAACACAGCAGGCCAAGCAGCATCAGAGGAGCAGGAAAGCTGACATTTCGGGCCTAGACCCTTCTTCAGAAATGGGGGAGGGGAGGGGGTTCTGAAATAAATAGGGAGAGAGGGGGAGGCGGATGGAAGATAGATAGAGGAGAAGATAGGTGGAGAGGAGACAGACAGGTCAAAGAGGCGGGGATAGAGCCAGTAAAGATGAGTGTAGGTGGGGAGGTAGGGAGGAGATAGGTCAGTCCAGGGAGGACGGACAGGTCAAGGGGGCGGGATGAGGCTAGTAGATAGGAGATGGGGGTGGGGCTTGAGGTGGGAGGAGGGGATAGGTGGGAGGAAGAACAGGTTAGGGAGGCGGGGACAAGCTGGGCTGGTTTTGGGATGCGGTAGGGGTAGGGGAGATTTTGAAGCTTGTGAAGTCCACATTGATACCATTGGGCTGCAGGGTTCCCAAGCGAAATATGAGGTGCTGTTGCGGCAACCTTCGGGTGGCATCGGTGTGGCACTGCAGGAGGCCCAGGATGGACATGTCGTCTGCAGAATGGGAGAGGGAGTTGAAATGGTTCGCAACTGGGAGATGCAGTTGTTTATTGCGAACCGAGCGTAGGTGTTCCGCAAAGCGGTCCCCGAGCCTCCGCTTGGTTTCCCCGATGTAGAGGAGGCCACAATGGGAACAGCGGATACGGTATACCACATTAGCAGATGTGCAGGTGAACATCTGCTTGATGTGGAAAGTCTTCGTGGGGCCTGGGATGGGGGTGAGGGGGGAGGTGTAGGGGCAGGTATAGCAGTTCCTGCGGTTGCAGGGAAAAGTGCCGGGTGTGGTGGGGCTGGAGGGGAGTGTGGAGCAGACAAAGGAGTCCCAGAGAGAGTGGTCCCTCTGGAAAGCAGATAAGGGTGGGGAGGGTAAAATGTCTTTGGTGGTGGGGTCGGATTGCAGATGGCAGAAGTGTCGGAGGATGATGCGTTGGATCCGGAGGTTGGTGGGGTGGTACGTGAGGACAAGGGGGATTCTGTTTTGGTTGTTATTGCGGGGAGGGGGCGTGAGGGATGACTTGCGGGAAATGCAGGAGACACGGTCGAGAGCGTTCTCGACCACTGAGGCGGGGGAGGTTGCAGTCCTTGAAAAACGAGGACATCTGAGATGTTCGGGAGTGGAATGTCTCAGCCTGGGAGCAGATGTGGCGGAGGCAAAGGAATTGGGAATAGGAGATGGCATTTTTGCAGGAAGGTGGGTGGGAGGAGGAGTATTCTAGGTAGCTGTGGGAGTCGGTGGGCTTGAAATGGATATCGGTTTCTAGGTGATTGCCAGAGATGGAAACAGAGAGGGCCAGGAAGGAGAGAGAGGTATCAGAGATGGTGAACTTAAGGTTTGGGTGGAAGGTGTTGGTGAAGTGGATGAACTGCTTGAGTGGGAGCATGAAGCGGCGCTGATACAGTCATCAATGTAACGGAGGAAGAGGTGGGGTTTAGGACCAGTGTAGCTACGGAAGAGGGATTGTTCCACGTAACCTACAAAGAGGCAGGCATAGCTTGGGCCCATGCGGATACCCATGGCCACCCCCTTTGTCTGTAGGAAGTGGGAGGAATTGAAAGAGAAGTTGTTGAGGGTGAGGACAAGTTCAGCTAAGCGGATGAGGGTGTCAGTGGAAGGGGACTGGTCGGGCCTGCGGGACAGGAAGAAGCGGAGGGCCTTTAGGCCATCTGCATGGGGAATGCAGGTGTATAG